TCCATCCCTTTGAATGGTACTGTAAGAGGCAGGCCACCGTCGAAGTGGAGACTTATGGTTCCGAAAGATCATTGTCGTTGCCACAAGATAGCCTCCCAACAAGCTGTCGGCGCTGCCCGTAGATGCAAACATATAACGTACCTTGGTGTTCGCAGGCAGTGCAAGGCCCCAGCATACATCGTTGCGGCAGACATGGGCATTCCGTCTTGCACAAGCTCGAAACAGCCCATCCACCGCTCAAGAAAAGGCACCATGCCTTAGACCACACATATTTGTTAGGGAAACGCATTGCAGCAGAAGAACCTCACAGGATCCTGTGCCATCAACATGCAGGGACAGAAATCAACCCGGCAGACACTACCACAGAAGCAGCATGGAGTTGTTCTACAGATTTGGCCCACAATGCTGCGAGCAGTGATGTTCTGGAAGGGGAATACCCTGGAACACCCCACCCCCGGATGAATCCGTGGAGGGGAGCGATAAAATGTTGGGTTGGATCCATGGGATAAGGTGGTGAGTGTGAGAACAAACTGTCTGCCTTATGTTACTGTACCACATGGTATGTGGAACAGCAAAGATATAGAGAATTTGGTTGGTACTGGTGAGAACAGGCAATACATATGGAACCAGGGAAGCCCATATGGCCCCATATGAAGGTTTTGACACTGTATCACCCCAGATGGCCATGAGCGAGCATCTACTCAATCAGTGACCTCAGGAGGATCCAGAGCCTCAGTGTGGCTCAGAGTCGCTCAATCCTGCCTAACACCCAATTATTTGGATGCATGCTTTTTGCTCATAGTCCTAAGAATTGAATGTATGAATTGAATACCATCTCCATAGACCTGTAGCTCCCTTGTTCCTTTGCAGTAGATACCTATCCTGTTGAGGCTGAGCAGTGGCATTGAGAGGTAAGCTGATAGCATTCCCTAGGCTGCCCAGCATCGTGATAGAATAACATCGGTACCAGCTCCAGGAGCTGGACACTCTGTAAGCAGAGGAGGCCCTGTGGCCATCCTCATCTCTTGTGGATCTACCCTGATCCTTTCAAGAAGTTATTGGCTTACGTTCGCTGCTGTATTCACATTTTTAAACACGTTACAGTAGGCACGTTTCAATGTCAAGCTCAACTCACTAGGGTTAGATAGTGTTGTTTTAAGTACCGGTACCCAATCTTTGCACGTGGCGATGCAATCATGAAGAAGAAGCTCACAAATTGATTGTAAATGCCCCTGAACAGCAGCATTTCGTGCATAAACTCCATTTTGAACCACCAAGCCACCGTGCCGAAGCAACTGTTTGTGCTTTTTCTTCTTCTTGTTACTCTTGGGAAGATTCTCGAGTACCACGAAACACCAAATCAGCCCCGCTTCAGGCTCAGATCTAGTAACAGTTTCCTCAGATTCAGATCTACCGCCCCAATCAATCAGAACCCAATCGCGCCATGGAGAGCCTCGATAGTCTGGATGCCCGCGGTAGATCTGCCCATTTCGATGATGCTCGCTCCTGATCTTGAGCTTGTCGCCCCATTTTGGGGTCAGCTTGCTTTGCAAGTCATGCAAAAAATGAAGAATTTGTTCATCCCAAGGCTTCTTGTGGGGAATCCTTATAGTGGTATCACTTCCAACACCTACTGAATAATACACCTGTGGGTTGTTCTTTTCTTGGAAGATGTTGATTGTTGCTCCAGTAACAATCGCTTCCAAGTTGGGGGGTGCCAAATACTCCTGTCGAGCTGGCTGGTCGTAATAATCCCACAGCTTGTAACCTCGAATCTCTGCCAGTGCCATATCAATCAACAAAAACTCATCTAGTCGAATAGATGTTTGCCAATCAAACAAGGCGCTGATCTTTTGGGTTAACAGAGCAGCAATCTTGGTGAGCTTGTGACCACTCTCGTTAGATCCGGTATCAAACTCCATCGGTACACCAAACAGAACGATGTCACCAACCATATGGACCAGAGCGTGAAACTTGATTATTCGAAGGCCCCGTCCTGTTTTTCTATCAGCTCTCTTCCGCATCAACCACATAATATACCGATTCCTGGTGGCAAGCTTGGCAACATGCTGCACAGATATTTTCGGCTGCCCAAGAAAAGCCTCCCAACAATAAGTTTCTTGAAGGTTCAGTTCCAGTACTCAAGTAGTGGACTGGACCTCGCTGAAACCCTTCCTCAGGTACAGCGGTAGTCAGGCAGTTCAGGGAGCCTTGTCGTGCCTCAGGAGTGTTCCAACACCTCCAGTAGGCACCAAACCAAGGACTTGGTCCTGTCTGACTGACAGGAGGGCCAGCAGAGCTCTCTGCTGGGCCCTTTTGGGCAGCTCTCCTCAGGAGCTGGGGCCTTCGTTATTCAATCGTGCAGTGGCAGTCTGGGAACAGTACTATCTGCTACCTCCTACTGCTTCTGCCCGGCCTCAACAGGATAGGTATCAACTGCTGCGGTATCAAAGGGCTACAAGCTAATCAGGATCGGTCTCAATCTTTCGTACTATTTTCTTAACTATGGTAGAAAGGACGATCCTTTCTTGCTGCTTTGCTGGAGATAAGCCAGCTGTGGGTGCTGGAGCTGTAGGCCAGCATAGCTGTTGGAGCTATCTCTGACGGGATCCAGAGCTCTCGCTCCTAAAAGTTATCGCAGCTTGTCTGCGCTCGGTGTTGAGCAGCAACACGCCTGGGGAACCCCCGTCCGAGTTCCACGCCCCGCAGCGTGGAAACTTGAACCCTGATGGGTTCTCGCAACTATGACCCTAATCATGGTTGCCGAGAGGACCATCTCACACTTTGCAAAATTAATTCCCACGCTCCTCACCTACAACTCAAGTACATCTCTACATCTCGCAGGTCATCACCTGTGTTCCGGAAATGGATACCCCACATGATGATGCACCGCATCAGCTCCTCAATGCCTCTCGAACAAGATTACCCTTAAGGCAATGACGCCCATCCAAGACCACATTTGGCAAGATCGACAGCGGCAACCATGAATCACTAAAGCCAGCGACCTAGCCAAGATCAGCCATTGAATTGCCGATCGCAAGAAGGTTGTCTCTCTCTCAGCTCACAATTCTTCATTCAGCCGACGCTGAAGGCAAGAACCTAGATTAGATTAACCCACCTCTCCCTCCCTGGTTGCACGACTCAAGGCTGTCCCGTGGAACATCACATTCCCGGGACTCCCTTTTGCCGTGTGGGATCCATCCGGGACTCCCCAGTCCCGGAATGGTACCCCGGGGACTGGAGACGGTCGGCTCAGTAAATGGCCGAGTCTCTCCACTCACCTAATCCTCTACTAGTTGTGTCTAGCTGCTCTGGGCGAGCGGAGCTTGTCTGCTCGTCCTCAGAGTCCTCAGAGTTTGACTTCTTGCGCTTGGCGGGAGCCACTGCATTGACTGCAGTGTCAACAGCCTCCTTGAACTCGTCGTTGTCCATCTTGGTCTTGAAGAGGTGTCCAACAGCGTTCATCAAACCACCGTTCTCCACGAACTCCTCAATGGCATTGTTGATACCGGCTGTTGGGGATTCGCGATTAGGGATTCAACCTGTACCTCTGTACTAGAATTTGATGCCAGTAGCAAAAGCTGGTACCCCACCCACTTTTTCAGTAGTATCTCAATAGCAACAGTAACAACTAGAAGAGAGCTTAGAGCAACTAACATACTACTGAAAAAGATCGGTCTACTATCGAAGAGGAGCCTATCAAAGCAGCAAACGGTAGCAGGAAGCAAGAGGATCGAGTATCGGCCGACGCCGAACGCGACGCGAGAAGACGATCGATAGCAGACCAAGACTGTCGAAGGATCGGCAGCAACGACCGCGACGACGCGAGGATCCGAAGACGAATCCCTGCGGGATTCCCTGGTTCCGCCTCAGCTGGTTCTGCTACTGGAGATGACAATGGTGCAGTGCAACTACAGCACGTACTATGCACTACCATTCCTGGGTACACCTAAATGTATTAGGCGCATTTGGAGTGTAACTCATGTGCTAGTAGTATTGTAGGCTTCTCAATCCTGTGGGAATGTGTAATCCCACTAGGGTTGAGGATGGCAACTGCAAGAGAAGGCCAAGAGGGGCGAGTCACGTGTGGGTTCGTGTGCGTCAAAGGACGGGGAGCCACAAGCGTGAAGCGCCAGCCATTGTCATTCGTGGCGAGCCAGCTGGAAATGGGAAAACGGAGTGAAATCTCCAAACCCAAAAAAGAAAGGGATAAATCCCGTAAGGCGTCATAGACAGACGCACGAATAGGGTGATAAAGTTCAAATTTGAAGAAAACCGGGAGTCATGCCGGAGAGAGAACACGTTGGGCCAGTGACAACCGGTAATAACGCGGCTAAAGAGAGGAGTAGAAGAACGGGGAAAAAACCCAAATTTCGAAATTGCGGGAGACGTAGAAAACATACGGGTTCCAACGCAGCGAAGAAAGGGGGGGGAGGGCAGACGCTGAAGAAGTGCGAACGGCCGGAGAGCTCACAAATCGAGCGTGTGGACGGTTGCACTGCAAACCGTGGCAAGCGATTCGAGAACATTTTTATCAATAGAAAACCAAGCGACCATGAAGACGTCTGGTGCAAGCGCCGGAGTTCCGAAAAAGAAGGGAGCACCCAATGGCCCCAAAGAGAGTAGCGGGCACACGGGAGAAGGTAAGAAAGGGTCGTCGGAGGGCGATGACGCCCGGCTGACCAACGGAGGTCTAGAAGGCGACGGCGCAACAGGTGGCAGGGCAGCTGGAGGAAAGACCACCGCTCCGACCAGTGCTGCAAAGGCGAAGAGCACCGGCCAGGAAGTGTCGGATGAAGACGTGGGCAACAAGGCCAAGCAGGTGGCCCTCAAGAGTTCCAAGGCAAGCGGTGGGGCCGCCGCTGCCGGATTGTTGGACAAGAAGGAAATTTCGGACGACACGGAATCCGACGACTCCACCGAGAAGCCAAAGGGAAAGACGTCGGGGACCAAGCGCAAGAGCGCCGCGGTGGCCTCACCCACCCAGAGATCCAACAAGCGTGCCAAGTGGTCGGGCAGCAACCAGGTGCAGCATTTCATGCGGGCGCATCAAAACAAGCATATCGGAGGCGATGGACGTGTTCTATCGGGACTGGGACACTTCGCGATGGCCGTCCGCCACCCAGAGACTGGTCATGTGGTGATGGCCGCTTTGGTCGACCTCGACCGGAAGGCCATTCTGGAAGCCGAGACCAAGCGTGTGAATAACCGGATGAAGCGTGAGCTTGAAGACGAGGTGGACCGGCGGGTGGCCGAACTCCACGACAAGGATTACGATGAGGACCTGAGCCGGGCAATCGTGAAGCGCTGGAAGGCTGACAAAGGCGAGGCCGAGTATGATACTCGTTGCAAGTCGCTGATGGTGGCCATTCGGTCGGAGATGGCGGCAACTCGCGGGAAACTCCTGGACGGCGCCAACGGGCCCACTCGTGGGCCCGATGGAGGAATGGTGTGCAAGGTCCCGTGGCCAGGCAGCAACATCGGCCGAGGAGGCAACGGCGGCACACCTTGAAGCGGTGCCAGATAAGCTCTCCATGTCCGACAGTGCCCGGGCGTGGGAGCAAACGAAGTAGAGCAGGGAGCACCTGACTGGAATGGCGGTATAGTCGTTCACGACAAGGGCACGGTGCTGGCACGAACAAAAGAAACAAACACAGCAAACCCGCAGACGGGCCATGAAACACAGGCCGACGATATGGTCGAAGCCAATGGACGGGCATATGAGCCGAATCCAACAACCAATATAGCATGCGTGGATAGTATAAACAAATTAGGACAGAAAAATTAAAGGAAGAAAACTGATCCAGTAACTAGTTTAGAGCGAAAGAAAGCTACTGGCGTGGTGGAACGCCTAGATGAAATGGGGCATAGCAGCCGCCGCGTCCAAGGCTTCCTGGTGTTGACGCGCCAAGATCGACGTGTTGCGGAGGTAGACCAAGAACGCATCAGACCGCCAGCGCAACAACCACTTGATCTGGGAGGCCGAGAAATTGGTGGCGTAAAGGAGGACGCAGGCACCAACGCGGAAGGAGTGGGGAGACCACTTCTTGATGGATTCTGCATCGCGGGCTGGGTCCAAAGAGTACACGGCAGAGGCAGCGGACCGAACAAGCCGCTCGACATCACGTGAGACGATCAAGGAGACCGAGCCGAAACGGGAGGATTGGTAGAGGGCGAGTGGAAGAGATGTATCCCACGCATTGCGAAGGTGGACGAAGCGTTGAATAATGCGTACCATGGAGGAGATCATGCAGAATTCACCATCGTGGTTGGCAGTGAACATGCGCTCCTCACCATTGTCTCCATTCTTCTGAGTGCGGAAGCGCAGCCACAGCTTGTTGATGGACCGGAGCGGGACTTGTAAAGAATCAGCGCCGATAAGGCGACGGCGGTCAAAGGTTTCCATCCGAATGTCATGGAGACAAAAAGCAGCAGGGTCACCAAAGATGTTGAGGGCAACGAAGCGGGGATCAGCAGATCTGGGCTTGTCTTGGGCCCACTCGCCTTTGCGGAGCCCTGCTAGCAAAGCAACCACGGACCAGTCAGCCAGAGCGGCTTCCAGGGAAACAAACGGGGCATCAGCACTGGCTTGGTGGACTGACGAAGCATTTCAGGAGTAAATGGCTCACGTCGGTTGGGTACCGTCTCGTATCGCTGGAACTCTGTGAACGTAGCAGTAAGGAGGCGGCCAAGTTTGGTGTCGGTGGGGTTGTCCTTGCGAGGGTCAGGACGGGTGGATGTGCATGCCACGGCCATGAGGCTGGCAACGTGGTGAATGTAGTTTTTAATGGTAGCAACACGGATCTGTTTACAGAATACATTACCGTCCGTGTGAAGATGAAAGGCAAAAATACAAAGATAGAGTTGTAGGAGACGGAGGGGGTGCCAGTAGTGACGCCGAGCGGGTCTGTCCAACCTAAAGTGTGAGCAAAGAGGAGGTAGTAGAGGCGGTGGGTACGAACTGTCCCAGCGTTGCGGGCAACTGAAGGGCCTCCACTGGCTGCACGGAGGACAGCCGCGAGATAAGGAGCTGTTGCATCTCTGCACTCAGGTGGAAATAGTCCCAGGTCGTCATAGAGGGATGCCTCGCTAACAGCTGAGCACGTCGAGAAGGGAAAGACAGAGAAGCATTAGTGGGACGAGAGAGGTAGTCAGCCAAGACGTTGTCCTCCCCCTTGATGTGTTTGGCGTTGATGCCAAAGAGCTGGAGACGAAGGAGCTCCGAATAGATGTCCAACAGGGCCTGGCCATGGGATGACGACGAAGTAGCAGTCTCAGCCCAGGATAGAGCAGATGTGTTGTCGGTCTCGACCAGGACAATGGGGAGATGGGGACGTCCATCAGGAAAGAACGGGCTTGGGCCAGAGGAAGGGATAGAACGGAGGCGGGTGGTGATGGCAGCCAACTGGACGATAATGGCAATGAACTCCAATGCATTGATGTGGAGAAAAGAGGGGTCTGTAGAGGGTAGCTGGAGCTTGGCTAAGGTAGCAGCGGACCACCGAATGTCGAACCAAAACTGGAGCGTAGGGGAGTAGCCACCAACACCGAGGAGGCTGGCATCGCCCAATGAATGGATATGATGGACACGAGGGATGACGAACCCAATGTGTGCCGACCAGGGGTGGCTCGTGGAGACGATGTATTCCCGAATACGCGACAGAGAGGAGCGTATGGCGGCTGTGCTGACAACCTTGGCCTTGGATTTCCAGATGAGTAACGCTTGCTGTCTACTAACGAGATTCCCCAGACGATGAGCCAATTGTTGGGGAAGCTGGGTGGCGAGGTAGGACTGTAGCTTGGAACGTGGGTATCGGCGCTGGATGTACCAAGCCATAGTTCGAAACTTAGAACGGAAAGCGTTCTGGATGGCAAAGAACCAAGGACGAGCCCAAGAGACATACCGGGTGTGGTTTTCCAAGGTGCCAATGACAGCTGCAGCCTCAGCCAAGAGGAAAGACGTCTGGCTCAACCATGACTCAAGCTGTTGAAGGAGGATGGTCCGTTTATCAGCTCGCATGCCCACCCGCATAGTTCTGCTATTGAAGGTGCGTCCAATTGCCTCCCGTTGGTGAGTGTAGACAGGATTGATCTTGTCCATGCTGAGAGCATTGGGAATGCGTGGGTCCGGGAAACCAATGACCAAGTACAAGGCATAGATGCTGGCTGCAATGGTACGTGGCATAGCTGATCGCACATCCGCGTAGAGGTTGTCATCGACGTGATGGGTAAACGGCGGGGGAAGACGGTTGCCATGGGCATCGAAAACACCTGGGTTGAGAGCATCAGCATCCACAGGGGCAAATTCCGCAGCAGCCGGGGGACTAAGGCGGATCTGGGGTAGATATGGTGCGGTGTCATGGATCAACGTCTGGGAATGGAGCCAAAGGTATTGGGCAACTCTAACACGGACCTCAACCAGGTCATCCCAGTTGGATGGGGTTGTATTGTCACCGAAGGTGCCACCCGTGTTAAGGACCCCGTATCCAGCTTGGACACTAGTATGTAGAGCAACTAGGTTCGGGTGGTATTTCAGCCAACGGAAAGCTCCACTCACATCGTCGTCTCCAAGAAACAACTCCTGAGTGGGATACGAAACACGGAGGTTGTAAAGCCACTGCATGAAGGGGAGCTCAGCAGAAGCATGACGGATGGGTGATTCCGTCTCCTTGGATGTCATGTCGTTGATGGCAATACACCAAGGGTGAGGCCGAAAGGAGCTGTCAAAAATAGGACGTGGCTTCTTGTGGGGCGTATCCAAGTCAACCATGCCTTGTGGGGTAACGTGGCAGTGGAGGAGAAAAGGGATCAAACGGGCGTCGAAGGGTATGACGAAGGAGCGTTTGACGTCTTTGGCCAATGCCTTGAGGGTCTTGTCCGGAGCCTGGGAAACAGTAACATGATTCCCATAGGCAGTGTAGGCCTGGAAGTTGCGGTCGGACACCAGGGAACGGCAGACTTGAGGAATACCATGGAAAAGGATGGACTTGAAACGCTGGTACGTCGACGGGGGAAGCATATGTCGGACCCGGGCAAGGACTTGGTCCGGGTCACGATGGGCACCCACAAAGGGTCCCCCAAGCCAACGAATGAAGGACGCAACATGGCCTTCAAAGAATAGCAAGGCCGCCGTGAACTTGCGGACACGGGCTTCGTCAATATCCACATCTGAGTCCCAGTCGTCACAACGAAAACCCCGAATATCCCAAAACGGTTGATCTTGGAGGTCCCGACGTAACTGGAAGAAATCTCGAAAAACACGTGAAAGGGATTGGAGTGCCAACCAAGTTGGATCATCCTCACAGAGGAAACCAGAGCTCAACAACGGGAGGAGGACATGACGAAAGGTGGCTTCAGAACAAAAAACCTGGGACGTATTTTCCTTACCAAATGGTTGGTCAATAAGAGCTTGGATACGTGGATTCGTGTGATCCCGATAGTAAGCTTCGCGTGCCGCCTTGTCATACTGTACCGAGCCGGGAGGCAGGGGTGTCTGTGACGGATTACCAGAGGGAGCCGTGACTAAAGGAGAGAACGTGATGGCTCGTTGGGGCTGGGAAGTTTTCTTGGGCGCTCCTGGAAGAGGCGGTAATTGGGCAAGGGGAGAGGGGGTGTCGTACTGGAAACGATCAATACCCGGTGGAGACTTGAGGGCCGCCAAAGGAGCAGGAACATGAGCTGAATCCGGTGGTGTGGGATAAGCAGTTGGCTCTGTCAAGGGGCTGGGAGTAGGCAAAATGGGCTCTAGGTACAGGGAGGGGTGCCGAGAGTGAACAGTATGCCGGGAGGGAGAATCGAACTCACTAGGGGAGCAGTGGAGAAGATTACTCTGGGAAACAAGGACTAGAGAAATAACATAGAAAAGAAAATAATGCTATTAGTGAGGAAGAAAGCTACGGGAAGGGGCAAACAAAGGCCAACTCAATCCCAGCAAATCAACATGGTGGAAATCATTTACGAGGAAGCCCTACCAGCAGGGCCACGTCCAGGAGCAAAGGACAGGTGTGGGGAGGCGTCCACGAAGGACTTCAGCTGGGCCTGCTTGTCGGCAGGGAGCTTGCTGAGGGCCGAAATATGGACCCGCTTGCAGCCCACCCGGGTGCACGCAAAGCCTTGGCACATGAACGGGAGGCAAAGTCGTTCATCCGAGGACTGCCCGGTGACCGGGCAAAGACGTTGCAGGACGGCGGGGAGCGGGCTTGGGGACCCGAGTATAAGAGGATGCCCTTCCTCTTATTCGCTTCTGGATTGGACTGGCCAGGGGTATGGGGGGAGTCCGTAGACGACATACGTTGACGCTTTGGCAAAGGGGAACGGGCAGATCGACCAGAAGCGTCAGGAGACTGAGCTTGGCGTTGGAACAGAGTCATGATGATAGGGTGCATGCGGTAGTCATTGCTAGTACCCCTCTGAATCGAGACTTGAAGGGAGCGGATGATGGAGTTGGCAACTTGGTTGGCAGAATCATAAACCTTGGGACTAATGGTGCCATCGAACTTCAAGGCACGGATGTACTCTGTTCGTGTACCAAGGACAGCAAAAGCTGAAATGATAGTGTGGATGTCACAAGCAACGTTGATGGGAAACTGGGGAAGGTTCTGGTGGTTAGCAATCCAATTTCGTGCTTCCATTGTTCGTAGGACAAGTAGGTAGTTGCGCAAGTGTGTCATGAGGGCACTATCATCAATCTCTTCAATGAAGGAGCTATCAACGCAACGCATGTTGCAAACAGCCTCAATAACATGGGCAATCGTGCGGATTTGGCCGCCAAGATACAATACATTGGCTTTTGGAGGAAGGGCCGCCTCTTTCTTGTTGGTTTCATCAAAGTTGCGGGCCATGAGGAAACCACTAGATTCAAGCTCCTTGTAAGTGGGGTTGGAGATGTCGGGGGATAAGAAGTTGAAGATAGAACGTTGCTGCTTAACGGACTCAGTCGAGCTAGAAACAGGGTCCGTGACAACATTGTAGTTACGGTATGTCTCAGACAATGCGAAGTTGGCTTGAGCTGGAGTAAACGTAACTTGGGCATCCAAGTAATTTGTGCTAGCACCAGCTTTTTCCGTAGCAGCAGCAACTTGTTCCTTGAACGTGCGAGCAGCCCCTGCCGCCTTGATGCGCTGGATTTGGGTAAGGCCCGTACCGGTTAGGAGAGCGGGGCGGAAGAAATCCTGGCCATCATCATGGGGGTTGATCATGACAGAACCATACATGATCGAGAATCGACGAATGATTTCCTGGGAGTATTCTTCGTGTTCTTCATCTTTCTTGGATGGACGGGAGACGGACTTGGTCAACGTTTCCGTGAGCTTGCCGAACTGGGTCAAGAGATCGTCCGCGCGAAGCGGAGGAGTGCCTTCAGGACGACGGTCGGAGTCATGATGGTCAGAGTCGTAGCGGCCCGATTCACGACGGGCAGTGTCACGACGGTCGGCTTCAATTGCTGCAACCTCAAGAGCGTAATCACGACGTTCTTCTTCGGCCGTTTGAATGCGCTGGCCAATAGAGCACCAAGCCATGTCGTGTTGGTCCCTGGCAGACGACGTAACTAAAGCAAATTCCGGGGCCGATGGGGAGATCAACTGGAGAGGGGCATTGACGTGGTCAGCAATGGTGTGATTAAGAGCGAAGGGCTCCCAATCGAGTTCAGCTAACATGAACATCTTGCCTCCTTGGGTGACGGACCAACCATCATTCTTGAGGATCGAGTAACGGGCACCTTGGAGCCAAACCTGGAGGAGGTCTTCACGTGTGAACTCGATATTTTTAGAGCGAGAGCTCTGGATCCCGTCAAGATAGCTCCAACAGCTATGCTGGCCTACACTCCAGCACCCGCAGCTGGCTTATCTCCAGCCAAAGAGCAAGAAAGGATCGTCCTTTCTACCATAGTTAAGAAAATAGTACGAAAGATGAGACCGATCCTGATTAGCTTGTAGCCCCATTGATACCGCAGCAGTTGATACCAATCCTGTTGAGGCCCGATAAAGTTGAGCTTATAAAGCCAATAATTGCCTCACTCTGTACCGAGCAAGAAACACTTTTACAGAAGTTACTGGATTAACAGTCAGCCTACTTAGTGATTCCCCTCGGTCATCCACAGTAGAGCCAAGGATGCAGGCCTGTAGTTCGATCCCGGTACAGTATCTCGCTTCCACCTCGAGAACTCACCTCTGTCGGAGCACCTAGTAAGTATGCCTAGTGTAGCCCATAAGTACTCTCATGAATTCTACAAGTCTGCGGTTAACAACACTGCAGGGCTAGAGAGGCACGACATATCGTACGGTTCCCCTCTGGAACCCTATACCCGTAAGCATTCAACACTCGTTCCGGGGGAGTTAAGGTCTTCATTCCCGTGACTCACGTACCACACTCGTTAGACTTTGGGGGAGAAGTTCACCCCGAACGGTGAGATGGGTAAGTCTCATCGTAAATAGTATATGACGTTCCACTTAGATAATACCGTAGACTATGGGGGAGTACCCTTCCCATCGTGACATCAGTCTTCGCCAGGATATCTAGTGACCAACGTCTAAGTCCTTCAGATAGCTCTCCTACCGCTCGTGAGTTAAGAGAAGAAGCTAGTATTCCCACTTGTACTAGTACTCGACAGTCAGTTCCCCTGCATATGTCCGTGCAGGATTCGCTCGAAGAACACCATTCTTCACACCGTACGTTGTATCACTCGTAAGATCATTCCACCATAGTCCCAGGAATTCTTCACGGTTCCTGGGGAGGAATCAGGAGTTAAGAGAACACGTACCTACACGACTGACGTCAGTTCCGAATGGGAACTCGACGTACCTCTACTGACGTACGCGATCACGAAGAACCTTCCGTGACACCCGAAGGCTAGCGCTTGAGTACAGGAGCGCTAAAGCGTAAATAAATACCTGCATGCATACCAGTACGTGCGATTAGTGCTGGGTGATTCCAACTGCTCGAACTCGAGATTCACCAGTACGACATCTCGAGAACTCAGAGCTGTTCGGCATGGGGGAGCGATAAAGTTGAGCTTATAAAGCCAATAATTGCCTCACTCTGACCGAGCAGAAACACATTTTAAGAAGTTACTGAGGCGGCAGAAGCAGTAGGAGTACAGATAGTACTGTTCCCAGACTGCCACTGCACGATTGAATAACGAAGGCCCCAGCTCCTGAGGAGAGCTGGCCCAAAGGGTCCAGCAGAAAGCTCTGCTGGCCTCCTGTCTGACTGACAGGGCCAAGTCCTTGGTTTGGTGCCTACTGGAGGTGTTGGAACACTCCTGAGGCACGACAAGGCTCCCTGAACTGCCTGACTACCGCTGTCCCTGAGGAAGGGTTTCAGCGAGATCCAGTCCACTACTTGGGTATTGGAACTGATCCTTTCAAGAAACTTATTGGAACTCGTCAACCAATTGGGTAGGGTCACTTAAATCGGTGGTCTTGGGGAAGGGAAAGCCTTTGGGCCAGGGGTACATGCAAGGGAGGCAACAGAAACCTGGTTCAGAACCCGCCACAATCAATGGCTCGAGAGTAATACGGGCCGTAGATGGGGGTTCAGCATCTTTGTGGGTACCACCGGCCGGGGCAGGACCAGAGATATCATCGGGATGTTGTTCAGACGTTGTCAACTTGAACTTCTCAATGACGGAACCAGGAGCCAGGGCCGTGAAGTGGGAACGAGCCCAACGAAAGGGAATCTTGGCAGGGACGACCTCACCAATCTTGTCAGAGAGATTACCAATGAGCCATGTGTGACCAGCCGGGTCGACAAAGGGCTGCGGGTTGGCAAACAAGACCGGCTTGTTGTCAACAATGATCATAAACTGATCATAGTGGCGGGTATCCGCCAAGAGAGCATCACGAACGGGCTGGGTTGTTCCTCGGTTAAAGATCATCGGCGTCAAGTGGTCAGAAGTGGGGGGGTCCCGAATGAGACGAAGAAAGACGTTGGTCAGTGGCATTCTTTCCCCTGGCAACAAGGGCACGAACAGCTTTGGCGTGGGCAAACATGGTCAAAGTAGGGTAGGAAAACAACGGTGGGGCTGGTGGGCAACGAACGGGGCAAGTGAAGCTGGAAAGCAACAGGGAAAAAGCAGGTCCAATTAGTATATCTGAGTAGACTGGGTCTAGATACTAATTGTGAGCTAAGTGAAGTTCGAACAAATTCAACCAGCACACAACTAGATTGGCCGCCCAGCCTAGGATTGGCTACGAAGGTACAAACTGCAGTCCTTAGGACCCGTTCCGTCGTCTCCTTTCCCGGTCGTCTTGACCACCATTGGTCACTTGGATCGTGTCCATTAAAAATTCACAGATTGGCACAGCTTTTGCCTATCCCGTTTGGGACCCAGTATATATTTTTGCCGCAAATTGTACACCTGCTGTCCTTAAGTCTTTCGAACCGCATTAGGACCTTTGGTCCAAATTTCTTCAGTATAGTCTGACCTCATTTTACATCGCTTTCTGCGCCGGTTTTGACTGCTTATTGGCTAGGACTTGTTCGCTCTATCTTCCAAGATCAGCTTTAGTTGTTCCCCGGTTTTTTTCTCGTTTCCCGAAATCTCCCTACCATTAGTCTAGTATACAACCTACATTGGTGCTGTGGCCCACTGGCCTCCCCTCTTGTTTCCTACCTGTACCCTTGTTTTCTACTTGATCTGACACCCAATCTGGCTCTAGCCAATCCTAATGCCAGCTTGTGATTCTCCATATCTTTCCCGAGCCCCAGCTTCCCCCTCTCTCTTCCCCGTCACCTTGACGTTTGTAGATTGTTCCCTTGAACGGTATCCTCTACCCCTTAGCCTTCCCAATTTTGGTGCTGTGATCCCCCCATTTCCCGTTTCTTCCTCTCCGCATTTGACTTGACGAACACTTAGTACCTATCCTACAGCCGTATGCATCCCCGCCCCTTTTGGGCCCCTTACGTCTCCCTTTCCTACCAAAACTCTTCCATCTGCAACCCCCACCCCCTCCTCAACTCAGGATACAGTTGATCTACCCCTGTTTTATCACTCTGCAGCCCCTTTGGAGAGTGTGACATCGTCCACCCGCCAGGGACCACGTATGTTTTGCACTGACTTGATTGGA